AATATGAAGGTGGTGAAAATATCATTTGTTTTTGAACAAGACTATTACGTATCAATTTGAAAACAAAACTTAATACCGATAATAGTCTATCGATAGATATTTTTACTCTAAATTATTGTTGTTTTTTATGCAAATACTGAAATACTTATCAATCTTAACGATATATTGTTTATCTCAAAATATTTGGAGGACGTCGTTTTGTGTTAGTGCTGTGTCTTTTTGTCCATGTTATCGATTAGACATGAGCACGTCTATAACATATTCCAACAAATTGTTTTGTAATCGTCAAGAACGTATATTTTTGGCACAAGAGGAATCCATTTTTAAGGTCTTCTTTAACAAAATAGCGTAAAATGTTCGTACGATTTCTAACGATGGAGGTACAATTAGTTATTTATTTTAAATCTGTTATATTGTGTGAAAATCACGTAATGCTAAATTGTATTAGTTTATAGTAGTTTTCAGTAACCTACATGATTTGTACCTTGAAGTTTATAGACACATCACAAAACTTTTTTTATTGAGCTGTTTAAAGTTTGACCATAATCACTCATTTTAAACGTTATTATGCTATATGTACACGAAAATATGAACTAGAACATTGCATTTAAAATATTGTCATTGTAATGTGATTCAAAGGATTAGGAAAGGGTTTTTTAACTTACGTTTATGACAACATTGTATTTAATTGAAATTATTGGTTCAGAAATCTACACAGTATATAGTATATAATGTTAAATTTATCAAAACAAAACCATTTGATTGTTTAATACCTAATTAATTTCATATTTTGCGTTAATTCGTTTAATTAAATACTTCAAATATTAAATATTATGTATACTTTAATATGAACTTTGAGGTAGTCATTTTTAATGATTTTAATTTTATCAATGAAAAGTGAATTTTTCGTATTGTTAATTTTATATAATGAATAACTTAAGACGTTCTGAGTGTTATAAATGAAATGATCAAATAAATCGTAGGTTTCTTGGGTTAGACAATTTCGTGTATTTTCAAATGTTTTTATAAGATATAGATAGAAAATTAATTTGTAATACTTTTACACGAAAAACATAGAAGAAGGTACTATTTAAGTCGATACAAAATAAATTATATTTTAGAAAATGCAGTAAATTAACGCTTACGAGAGTAAACCGAGAAGCACATTTATATGGAAATAAACGGCTAGGGGAAATTCGTTCAGGGACGCATTTAAAGAACCGTCACGTTGGGAAAAAATAGTTATATTAAATGTGTATAGTTTTAAAATTAAGGATTGAACTAATTGCTCGTTTATAATTAATTTTTTTAATGTATTAATATTTCTTAAAAAATATATAAACTTGAATTTGATCCAGTAATTCAGAACAAATTTTGTAACATTTCGAGCTCAACATTTTTATATTTTTCTTTTTCAATACTAGAAGTGTTTAAAATAATATTTTAACTATAAATAGTCACTTTAGTAGTATGGTAGTTATGAACCAATTTAAAATGGCTATTTAATTATAATTAATATGTATTCAAATTTGATTTCGATTATGATTTATTCCTTAATTATTTAAGAAATTTATTAAAAATAAACTAAAAGTATAATGTGTTGATTTTTTATATATAAATATACTAATTAACAATTCAAATAGCATATTAGAGAAAAAATTAACATGTTTGTCTTGGAAACTATTAAGGTACGATTTTTGATGTTGGTCTTCATAGAAACAAAGTAAAAATTGATATTATAAAATTATTTTAAAAAATAGGTCAATTAAAAATTATTTTTGCACCCTGAGGCAGGTATTGTACTTATATGTAATGTCTACACTATACGATTGAATTGTATTTTTTTTAATCCATACCTTGTACTTTGTTTATGCGCCAAGGTTAACCAACCACATATGCATTTTCATTACACCCTACGTACAAAAACAATTGACCAAGATAGCGCAATAGGAATTTTTTGCAATCTTTATACCTACGTTTGCATGCATGTGCAAAAGATTTTTATTTTTAAAATGAAAAAATTAAAAATTTGTGTTATCTATATCACAGTTAATTTTACTGGAAACATTCTACCTTTTTACCTTGGTAGTTTCGAGGTCTTCAGTTAAAGTTTTTTGGTTAGTGAGCGTGAACACGTTCTATACGTTAACGTTTCCGTAATTTTATTGAGTATGGGTACTGTAAATTTTTGATGAGAGGTGGAAAATATAATTCAAAAATATATTTTAAAAGAAAAATAATGAAATCAGTTCGATTGCTTTTAAATACAAACCCATGATGTTTAATATAATATATATTATACATCCATATTTACGTAACTAAATTCCTTTATAACACAGTTTATTATTGTTACATACATACTCTCATACAGAGACAAAAATAGACTACATTGACAAAACTATGTACGTCATGTTTTCATATACAGAAAAAATTGTTACATGAAAGATATATGAATAAAATTACTATGCAGTGTATAAAGCGACCAAAATACAACAGGGAGCCATCGATGAAAACGGGAACAATAAAAGAATTTTAGCAATACACGTGAATGAAACAGTTTTTTTTTCATTTATTAATTTTTTGCAATCTATATGGACAAGCTGTATAGTGACATGCATATCAGTCACGTTCAATAAACGCAACAGGGTCAAACTCGAAGTACACAACTACGAAGATTCGTCAGCCAAGAAGCTGCTTAGTGGTGTTTTGATTGTTATTTTCAGCCATCAGCAACCAATAGAATTCACTAGATGGCGTTTGGGCGATACTGGATTTTCTTTGGAATACAATTTCTTATAAAAGCCGTTTTTGGGAGCAAAAGCTTAATGTTTTTTCTATAGATAACGGTTAAACGCAAAATATTTCAGCTACTCATAAACAAAAACATCAAAAATACTACATACATTTTTATTCAAATGCTTACATTCGTGACATCGTTTAATTAACTAATCGGAGAAATATATAACATACAAATGCAACATGCTTACGCATTCATACACACACACATACACTCTACATACTCGTATGTAATAAAATTTGATATAGAGTAAGGTCTCATGTTCATCAAGGTCGGTGGCATGAAAATACCGAAAAAATTCTACATTAAAATGATTATTGTTTTCAAAATATGTGTTTTGTTGGAATTATTATTTAAGTTTATTTATAAGCCTCCCCTAAAAAACGAAACATATATACGTATATGTATGTTGTATATTTTATAATAAGTGTGTCAGACTACGCGTGTTGTCGTAACGTTCAAGGCCCATTAAACGATGATCATACATTTCGAATCCGTGTTGTATGAAGTCATGTTTTATAAAAATTGAAATGTTTTCATAAACATTGACACTGATAAAATGATAACAATTGCGCGGGATATTGAAAACGGTATCGGAATTCATCGTTCTACATATTAAGCTAAAATATTGATAATGCATTACTAACGACCTTGACACTAAAAACTATAACGACGTTAACTGAACGTGGCTTATAAATCACTATATCGTTTTTGAATCTTGCAGGTGAATCTACATTGCACTCATCCGAGTTCATTACGTTGTGTACATTATAAACACATATATTTAGTTATTAAAATGCTATGTGATACCTATGTAACTTTATTAGTATATTACTATTATATTAGTATATAATAGTAATTTTACAATTTGTTTTTTTTCTTTCCGTTCACACTCTCGAACCCATATAATGAGAGATAGACGACTATCAATGATAAAAATGTAAAAATTGTATAGTGATGGTGGCAATCAAGGTAATGTTCAAGGTAGAACTCGAGTTATCATCAAGGCAACCATTCCTTCCGCGTTGTTAAACCTTGTGAAACTCGCTTGGAGGTGGAGTGGTATAGGCACGCGGTACTTTTTTATGTACTCAAATAATACGTACACACGCATACACAAACACTGACGTCCAAGTGCGTGACTCAAATATCCACTCTTCGAATTCGATCAATTCGATTAATATTGTGCACAGTAAACCAGTTGTTTACATCGGTGATGTCACAATTATTTTTCTACTATCCGAATTTCATGGGTCACACGAACCATCGTCCAAGGACAACGATTTTTTGAAGACCACCTTGGGGGCGAAATCGCCCATGGGTGTTTGTCGTAAGCCATCGTATTTTCCCGCTAATAATTTTCGACTCGTGTACCAATAATACGTCTCTCCTCTTAAGGTCTCGGCCGCCGAGAAGTTCAAGGCACTAAGACCGCGCGCGCACGAAGGCAATCCGAAATCACAATCTACTGGGCAGCACTGCGGATGATGGTTTTGCGAGGGAAGAATAGGTGTACGATACATTATGATATTATGATTTTAACGCATCCAAGGACGTTTGCTTTTATTTCCATTTTTAATATGTAAGAATAATAACGAGCCATACCAAAAAAAACGAAAATAAAACCCCGAAATTAAAGTCATAGTGCTATCGAACCCATTCACGAATAAATACATTTCTTATCGTGTGAAGTGCGCGGAAGGGGAACGTACCACTGTTCTTATCAAACGGCTATTAATTTGCCCTAATGACTCTAACGTATCTCCATAACACAAGTTGAATGATATTATATCCATGGAACCGACATAGACCCACACTTGTATATACACGTACACCAGCAGATATATACACAAACTTGCGACATAATTGTCTGTACGTTTTCAAAGGTTATTGACTGATCAGGGTTAACCTGCACCGCAAAAATAACCGGGTAGTAGGTTTAGAAGAACATATTTATGTGTATTACGTTTTCTCGGATTTCAACTCCTCTCGTCCCCGCGAAAAGAAACCCCCGGGGGGTGAATATTATTTTAATAATAGCCGGTCGCATTTTTCACCGACTTCGATCGTTTTTGTACAGTTTAGTTTTATAATGATTTTCGTTTAAACTTCAACCTTAACCGCATTTCTTCACACGCTCGGGGACTGCGTTTCTGTACGCGTTTCGTATTACGATAACATTTTACGGTCAAACGAGACTTACTTGATTATTAAATTATTCGTAATATGTGTGTTGTGGACTCGAAGGTCTCGTCGTTTATCCAAGAAGCGGCGGTATCGTATGTAGATGTGCACACGAAAATATTAATATCGAATTCAACCGATACAATAACAACACAGCGAGATTAAAAGTAAAAAAAAAAAAAAAAATTTAGATAAACGCGCACTACATAGTAGAACAACCGATGTACAATGGACACTGGTACGCGAACGTATACGTATTATTTATGTAAATTGGACAAAATAATAATAACAATAAAATTAAATAAAACGATGATAATTAAAAGAAAATAAATAAATATTGTTAACGGTATAATAATAATAAAAATATTAATTCGTCGGTACGTGTTCGAGTACTCGATAAGCCAGCGAGTGGGTAATAGAAATCGACGGACACGGTACGCACACGGAGCGTTCACTGTGATATGAAAACGCGGTCGCGCGGTGGCACGGTGTTAGCATCGGAGGCGGCGGCGGCGGCTACGAACAGCGATGACGGGTGGGAATCGACTGGTCGAGTGGGGCCGACGAAGGCCGGCGGCGGACGAACAACAACTTCTATTTTTTTCTACACACTACCGTTTTGCAATGCTTGTGGTTGCTATTATTATTAACGTCGGTAAAATTGTTTTAAAATTATTTATTTTAAAACGTCGTCCGTCCTATCCTTACACCGAATACTATCGATCGACTTCCGTACCGTGGTCACTGTACGAACGGTTTACCTTTCCATCGCACCGACGAGTATCGTTTTCGTAATCGGAACCCTACGAGTGTTTAAGATCGTCGGTACGGCAAGGAGTTTGTCGATTTCACTCGTAGCAAGGAAAGCCGTCCAGTCGTCCTGGGCGATAAAAGTTCAAGAGCATCTTGTTACCTCCAGTTCAACGCATAACTATTAAATTTATACGTGCATAATACAAAATGTAGCACTTATCAATGTGAATCGCAAAAAAAGTTAAGTTTTTATTTAATTTTTTTTTTTCTGAGTAAATATGCTAGAAATAGCCGACGAGTTTAAATAAAAATTATAAATAAATTCGTTTCATTGACATCGTTACATCGATTGAATTTTCTAAATTTATTTGTTGACCATTACACCATAGTATTTTCACTCGTAAATGGTCAATATGATAATTACAAATTTTTCTCAATGCGAATTAATTATGTGTTGAAAAAACAAATAAATATTTCTACTTTGATCGCTTGTTAAACACCTATTGCTAATGACCGATTCGATGCACTCCACCTCTTCGCTGACAACCGAACATTATAAATCCAAGGGGAGATTCGTCGTTTGTAAAGTTTCTACCAGTTATTACTATTGTTGTGTTTTAAGTACATAATTTTTATTCGAATCAGTCAATATGTGCTACACGATAATATTATAATAACAATACGCGCTTGTTACTTTGCATAATCACACCGAACAATAACGTGCAACATATACGTGCGTGCGTTTGGGAGTGGGAGTATAACATAATGTATCTACTTTATAACAATATTAAATTATTATATATTGTATACGCCGCCCGTCCGGTGGTAAAAAACGCCCGGAGCCCTTGACATTGTCGTGCCTGAATTGCCTAATCGGAACGCCGGCCAAAGAATCGGTTTGCACAACACGCGCACCTGCAGCAATGCAGACAGATTCTACCCGTCGTTACTCCTCGATTTTTAGCATTTTTATAATTAATATGGTTATCAATTATTTACATTTTTTTTTCTATTGAAAGCTATTTTTAAAATACTATACTGATCGAAATTTCAATACTATTAATATGATAAATCTAAACCGATTCGTATTCGGTCTTAACTATTTTGTATAATGTCCTGAACCCGTTTTTAATCCTGGCATATAATTATTTAAACGCTTCTCCTTCAAATTTGTGACCCCGCATTAGTTAAACTTACCGATCCGTTTGCCAATTGGTTCACTTTTCGTTTGATATCGATTAATAATAATAGTATTAAATATTCTAATGGTATCGAACAGATGTCCATAGAACGAATTGAACACACAAGTGAGGGCATAGTGCGCGCTCGCATTCACAATCACACGTAGTTATAAAATTGTTTAATTTATATTTATATTTATGTTACATACTTGCTATTGTAGTAAAAAAAAAAAAAAAATTATATGTGTATAATATCTATGTAAATATATCAAAAATTCACTCTAATTATCTTTTTCTAATATCGGTTATTAAGATCATTAATTCGTAACCTTTAATCGTGTAATACATAATTAATACATTTAGTGAACTTGATATTTTTTATTGTTCACGGACATTTATCGTTATTGATCATTGGAATATAAATTGTGCTTGTTCTGTATAAACAAATGCAGCTTATGAATATTAATATTTTTAAATTATAAATTTGACCAATTATTTCTTTCGGAAACACTGGCAATCAACACGAGATATAATAAAAGTTGAATTGCTATAATGTTAATATATATTTATACTTAAGGACATTGAACAATAACTTAGATTAGATGATTGGAATTCAATATAATAATAAACCGCACGACGTATACGGAAGGAATATAAAATAATTAGATAAGATTAGAAGTTTAATATATTACGAATAATAGTAATAAATTACTATAAATGTATCACAATAATATAATATAATATGTATTTAAAACTATGTTTCATGAAAAAACTCAAGGAAATGCCATTATAAATTATGCAGGTGAATGTTAATGTTATGAAATGATAAATATCACATTTTAATTTGAGAAAATAAAGTAAATTTCTCATTACATGAACTTGGATAGGTTTCAAGGTTTCCTTCGTACTATTCATAGTCGAGATAGAAAATCATGTATTTTCTTCGATGTATCGTTCAATTTAATTTTTAAGTTGTTCACATGTGACAAGTAATTTTCATTGTAGAAAATACTTTTATATTCCATTATGTTTTGCTGAAATGAATTTGTTACTACAAAAAAAATGACTTTTGTATTTAAATTTATATGTACTACAAAATTTAAATAAATAAAAAAAAAATCTATAGTTAACATTAAACGATTAAAATGATAAAATTAGATCGTACAATGTGCTGATAGCTTTAGAAATTTTAGAGTATTAATTGTTTTATATATTTTATAATCAATTGAATAAAATCATTAAAAAAATATTTTCTTCATAAATAATCAAATAAATATATTATATTTATTATGTTCAAATACGTTAAAAGTCATAGAAGCTTCGTGTAGATGAAAACAAAGTTAGGTGATAAGGTTTTTATTTTAGAAATATTATCATTTTTGACAATATTTCTGAAGACTGATGACAATAATAATATTTTCGAAGTATTAATAAATTAGTTAATTAAATTTTAATTTTGAATTACAAAAACATACTAAGCTACATTTCATGTTTTTATCAATTTTAAATTGCATCAGATTTTAATTAATAAAATTATCACAACTCACAATTGTACTATAAAAAATAATATTAAATCTTATATTAGTCTTATATGTTATTAAATTAAAATATTAGAAGTATTAATTTTAGTAATACATAATATTTATATTATGTTTCTTTCACTACTATGTTAACATGTTTACCAATACAGTGTTTAACGTTTTTCGAGAAAGCATACAACAGATTTTTATTGAATTTATAGTTTAAATGTATGTAATTCAGCTATGATTGTATAAGTTTATGGTAATTGAACGTTATTTATGTCAATATTTTTCATTGTGTACATTTTAATACCAACATCCAGGAAAAAGTGTATTTGGTATAAACTTCAGTCAATAACTGCAGAATTTATGTAAAGACTAGACATTTTAATATGTTTTCATTCAAATTCTGACGTAAGCAAATTATATTTTAATTTAGTTCAGTCAAGTGATGTCATTTCAGTTCTTACGAGAATGAGTTTAATAAAAGACACGTACATTATAAGATTAATCCAATTGAATGATAATAAAGTCACCATTTTATGTATATACTTTTACCTACATTTATTTTGTTTATTTTCTTATGAAAGTTAAGTTTTTTTAAAATTAAAATAAACGTTTAATGTTTATTTATATCGTATTTTAATTATAGTACGCAAGGAATCGAAATAATATATTACATAATTTTTTAACATGTTTAAATGAAAACTGATTTTAAACTTCGTAACTATTATCATTATAATATTCAATTATTACATTTATGTTTTATGCACTTAAGAATTGAATTAAATCGATAAAATTATCGAAGTATAAATTGTATGTCTAAAATAGTGAGATGTACTCAATTGTTAAGTTTGAAAAAGTAAAATATTCATGAATGGTTTAAAAAATTACAATAATATGATAAGTCTAAATATAAGATTGTTAGACACAACTCACCTCAAAAGAAATCGTATGATTCTTCACCTATAAAACCATGAATAAAATTATTTGTATTTAAAAAATTGATTTGATTATATTAATACTTGTGTTAACCTTCAACATTTTATCTATACTATTTATTTAAACAGGAATATATTATACGAAAAATATCTTATATAACTTCTGTGTAATAATTGCGTGCTTGAAAAATTACCAATGAAATTTATAATAAGTAGTATTATTGAATTATTGTCTATTAAAAATGTATTAGAGATTTATATAAGTTCATATCATAATTTAACTTTATAATTAAACACTAAAATGTTTTCGTTCATCACGTGATCAATATTTCAATTAAACCAAATCTATTTTACTACAGCTATCATTATTGTTATCCAGACAGTTTGCTCTTTAATTGGATACGCTGTTTTTGATTTATTTAGTAAGATTACCTATTACTATTTAGTGTTGGAAAAGATAATTTCGTTACCTATTATACCGGTGTGTATTGTATCTTATTGTAAAAATATTCATAAATATTGTAAGACATTTAGAAAGTGATATTTAATTGTAAGTTAGATTTAATATCAATTAAATTAATTTTTTGATTTCGTTGGAATTCTTTTAAAGAATGGATTTTATTCCGAACTGATTTAATGTCGGTTTTTTCGTAAATGCTACTGGTGAATTTTTCCCATGTCGATTTGTTACTTAATTTTATCAGGTATTTTGATTTGGCTCTAAAATGTTTAAGATGTATGAAGTTCTCTTGGGTATTGGATTTATGATATTTGTTTGTCCTTTAATTGCTTTTTGTCTTGATTCCATCGAGGAACTTTAGGTTTGGGATTTTTGCATATAGCTTTTCTTATAGTTAAATTGGCTAACAGGATTATTGTTTCTGTCAATTTATCGAATAGGTTGTCAGTGGTTATGAACTCAGATTCAATAATATTTTATACTTTGTGTTCGAGCATTTCAGAATATAGTAGCAAGTCAGGGTTTTTATAGTTCCATCTCTCAAGGTTAGGAATACTATCATTCATATTATTATATCGGGGAACCAGTTGTATGATTATGGGAAACTAATC